GTATTTGTTAAAGCAACAAGTTGTCCTTATATGTGTTAAATATAAAAAAAACATAGAGTGATATGCACCTGATTATACACTTGACTTTCACTGTACACAGCACAGACATGAGCATGTGTTCTTCATAAAAATTTTACAAACAAACTCATGAGCATGTGCTTTATATCGAACAGCACACACATGCGCATGTGCATTTTTTTTTTAATTTTCGAAGCACACACATGAGCAAGTGTTTCGTATCATAGAGCACACACGTGAGTTGTGCGCAAGATTTTTTTTTTATAAATGCACACTCATGTGCATGAGCAGTGAGCTCAATGGAACTTTTTTCAAGCACATGTGTGTGCAGAGCATGTGCGTGCAAATACGAACCCTGGTATTACCACCTACTTCCCAATGGTATTTCGATCGCTTTATAAGTTCATTGTTTTGGTTCCAAATCGCCTCCCGCTAATCTCAAGAGTTGGGGTATTCTGAAATGGTCAAAAAGCGGATAGTTCATTCTTTTCAATGTCTTCAGAAGTTCTTTGAAAGCATCGACTCAAAGTAGATTATCACACTAACCGCTCTGCCCTGAACAGATGCTCTATTCCACTCTGTCGTGAAGGCTCTGTCTGAAAGCATGGAAAAGGCTGAGATGGTCAAATGGGACGTCCAAATAATCTAGCGACTAAGATAGGAATGAATTTGAATACTCAAATAGTTTTTGCGAAAACAAGATCGTACGAGTTCGAAACTTTATAATAGAGTGCCAGACTGTTACTGCGACCATTCGTTTGCTTTTATTTACTTATCCTAATGAATATATGTAGCCCTTAAAAGTAACCCCAATATTTATTTCCGCTAATAACTTCGAAAATAATATTTTTTTCAGAGATTCCACTACCATCTACGCCCTCAAAACAAGTCACACATACAACCATCGAAACAAGGGAAAGTGAGTACATAAGAAATAATCAATCTAAAAAAGTTATATTAAGTTTTGTTCAAATAAAAATGTGTATTTTATAGCTTTCATATGATTTTAGGTGTTTTGTATAAAAGTTATAAGAATTTACAGTTATACCTACATATTCAAAAATATTAGCAATAACTTGACCGCTCCTCCATTTCCTCTATCCTTCTAAATTATTTCCACTAGATAATATAATACCCACACGAAATGATTCAACGAATGCATTACAAAAAGACATTCATTCGATGAAAGCAGATCTGCTGGGTAGTGGTGCATCGTCGGCTTCTTCATCGCACTCTGCCACAATTTCCATGTCTGCGGGAAATGGCAATGGTATGTCTGCGCTGGGAGGGGCGAGTATAAATGCAGTCGATCGCAAAGGCACGCTGGCTATTGGCAAAAGTATGTATTATACCGAACAACCCCCGAAGCAATTGGATGGCTCTGCAGGTGAGTGTTGTTATAAAAACAAGTAAATATTTAATTTTTGGAAGGAACATATAGATATGTACATATTTTTAAAAATAACTAGCAAAAAATTAAGTCATTATAAAAAAAAGCTTTTTTATTTATACATATCGTAATTTTTAAAATTATAGATTTTCGTTTGAACATGGTTAGGTTTTGTTTTCTGGCCGTTTATTGTAATATTTTGATTGTTTTTTTGAGCTCTAGGCCTAGGGTAAATAAAACGATTGGATGTGCNCATAGAGATCATAGACTCAAAATGGAGTTCTATACAGGAGCACACACCGTTAACTAAGGATCTATTTTTAACCATACTCAAATTTTGTATAAAAGAAAATCGCTATTTTAAGTATAATGACAAGATTTATGAGCAAAGGTCGGGAATGCCTATGGGTTCACCAGCATCACCCGTGATAGCAGACATAGTTATGGAGGAACTATTGACGAATTTCGAGAAAGACTCTGACAATAAACAACGATTATTAACTAAATATGTAGATGACTTATTTGCAATTATCAAAACAGAAACTATGGACAAGATGCTTAACACTCTAACAACTAACTATAATAAAACAATAAAATTTACAATCGAAATAGAAAAAGATGGACAATTGCCTTATCTGGACACCCTAATAATTAGAAAGAACAATAGAATAACATTCGACTGGTATAAAAAACCGACAGCATCAGGGAGGCTCATAAATTTCAACTCCAAACATGAGAAGAAAGCAATTCTAAATACGGCTAGCAATTTTATAAGAAGAGTTCTCTCCATAAGTGACCAAATTTATCACACGAAGAATATTACCATAATTAAAGAAATCCTAGGACGAAACGAATTTCCTCGGGGTATGATTAATAAGCTCATACGTAACTACTACGTAAGAAACAATAAGGGGGAAAAAATAAAGAGTTAAATAATAAAGTTTATAAATCGGCGACCTATATTCCGGGATTATCGGAGAGGATTAAACATTCCAAAATGTATGACAAGGAGAACTTTCAAATAGCATTCACTTATGACAACACATTACAGCAGATATATAGCAATACCAAAGACAAAATTCCCAGAAATGAGAAATCTGACGTAGTCTACAAAATACCATGCAATGGCGACGGGTCCCACGTATGCAATATGGTTTATGTGGGGACAACAAAATCTAAACTAAAGACAAGGATTTCCGCTCACAAGTCTAATATTAAGTTAAGGAGCAATTCGTCGGACAATAAGACGGCCTTGTCATATCACTGTCAGGAAATGGGACATTATTCTGACTTTGAAAATGTAGCTATCTTGCAAGAAGAGAAAAATTATAATAAGCGATATGTTTTGGAGATGCTACATATCATGAACACCCCTAATAATAAAAGGATGAATTTTAAAACAGACACCGATAATTGCGCTCATGTGTATCGCAATATAGTTCTCACCCACAGCAACAATCAATAGTGTAGGTGTCAGGTGTTCAGAAAAAAACGATTCGTCGGTCCGATAGCAACATTTCTTCGGACAACAATAATGTAATGTTGGGATAATACATACATATAATTCTTCGTCTTACTGTTCATCGCTTCATGTATTGTTCTTTGTATGTTTTTTGTTTATGATTACTGTATTTTGAATTGTTTACATTTTCATGCTTATACTTATTGTCACCAAGTTTGTTTGTTAATGCATTTTCGCGCATATGTTTAGTCGACCAGGCAGAGCCAAGATTGTAAGTTATGTTTTGTTGTACGTTGTGTAAATAATTATTTGTATATGTATTCTTATTGTGTTTTTGCAGTCCTGAAGATGCCTTTAGATTAAAGGCGAAATATCGACAGTAATAAACAAAAAAGGAAGATAAGACAGACATTATTTACCCTAGGCCTAGAGCTCAAAAAAACAATCAAAATTATAGATTTTCACCAAAAATTTGTTATTGTTTTTGGTTACAAATTTTAGTCTTTTATTAGGCATTTTAGCAGACTATTGTTTTTTTTTTTATTAAGTGCAAATATATTTTTTGCTAACATCCAAGAAATTTATAAGATGAAAAACTACATAACTTCCTCAAAATTTGTTTGAAAAAATATTAAATCAAATGATTATTGCAATGAAATAAAATATTAAAAATATTTATTATGCATATCCTTTCTTTTCTCTCATTTCTTTTTTCCCCTTTTCTCTTATCAAATACTACGCAGCTGGCAGATTACACAAGTCTCCAAGCATTTTTTATTTGTGCAGATTTGCACTAATTTTTTTACTCCTAAGAAATCGCTCATAAAACTACTTGCATTTGTATAAATAAAAATTAAATAAGTATTTAGTAATTAAAACTCAATAATAATATAAACCGTTTATGCGTTATGATTTCACTGTATATTGCAATACTTAAGTTTTACGGATAATATAATTTAAATGTAAATCAAAGCCACGTTTTCCAAAAAAAAAAAAAAAATATATGTATGTATTTATGTATATTCAAGTATGGATTGCTGTGCATTTAGTTGAGCGTATTGAAAGATATTTCGAGTAAACGGAAAATGACGTTAAATAAAAACTAATATTCAATAGTTCCTTAAAAAACGTTTTACTTTTTAGTACTTTATACATTTTGTTAGTTTGGAATTTTATTTTGTATATATGGATTTGGTGGATAGTTTCATTTAGTTTGAGAAATGTCAGTCAAAAATACAGAAAATGCCCCTATTGTCAATACCCTGTGGCACATAGATATTCACTTATTACATTATTATATTTTTACTTTGATCAAACCGACTTATAGTCGCGGTTTTTTCCCTTTCAGCTTGCTAAAGAATTTTGCTACCGCTCAGGTTAGCTTCTTCAAAAAGAACTTGTTTATCCCCCTAACTATTGTTTTTTGTAAAATCTGTACCGATAAATTTTTTTAACCTTAATCAGTGATCCAGAGGTTCAGAGTTGGCCAAATTTATCAGCCCGCTCATACTTGGAGGCTACCGCTCCACAAAGGGCATCCACTGAGGTCGATTTCAAGTTTAAAGTTCAACTTTAAAATGTAACCTTTTCTTACACACAAAAATAAAATCCAAAGTTTAGCGTACCATGCTTCCTATATCTGAAAAAATATATCGACCTACCTTAGACTGGACGGTAAAAAGCAGCCCACTTTACCACAAAGCACGGACCAAAGTTTTGCTCACCAAGCGAAAAATCGGCATCGCGTTCCAAGAGAGCAGGTCTCAAGTACATATAGGGAGAAGTTAGCTTGGTCTGTCTGGTCTTTAGATGGGTTTAAAGCAGAAAGATTGGAACAAGCTTCTTCACAAAATGCTAAGATAGAGGAGAGGATATGTTCATACTGAAGGCAGGGAAGTTAAATCATTCACGGAAAAATGACATCAGGCCGAGAAATATTTCATCGTTCCCCCTAAAAACTTTTGCACGGCTAGTTGACCTGCATCCACATGATGGGCATAACACAGCATGCATACCGTAAAGGATCAGTTTGTCGAGACTTAATTTGCGTAACATAACCTAATATATTGGCCAACGCAATATATTTTTGATCAGGAATTATGGTATGTGGCTTATAGACGGCAAAGTGACCATCAGCTGAAAAGGAAAATACCAAAACAAATATTTTCGCTTATAGATAAATGGATGTGTTGAGTAATCATTGCCGATTTCTTTCCTCAGTTAAGTTAAGTCTTGACTAACTAGACTGTAAGTGTACATCTGTAGAATGTGTGCTACACGAATATCTTTAAAACTCGAGGAATACACCCTATACTATACCACCCTCTGCCATTTGGAGTTCTTTTCTCTGGTCGGAAAGCTAATAGCATAATGTGACTACTTGCTGGCTTGCATATAACATTTTATAGCATTCATTATATTGTTGGTTTCCACGTACCGGCTTCTCTGAGCTTAAAAGCGCGATAAAATATGCACTGATGCCTTGTAAAGATACATATTAGCTTACCCTTATCTTGGAAGTGAAAAAAGGGTAATTTGTTTCCTGTTAAATAAGAGTAGTTTTGTTTTGAGGGCTTTAACCCCTAATTCATTCTGGCTAGCGAACCTAGTAATGTCAATCCATGCACCCTCCAAAGCATTCATCTGTGACAAGTTTTAGCAAATCGTCGTCGTAGGCCACAAGATTAATTCTTTTAGCTTTGAGTAGTTACCGCCAGAACTTCCTTCACTACCAAGAGCCACAGGTAGGATAGTACACGCCTTTGGGTTGTGTCGTTGATGATTCCCCTTATCACAGATCTTGTATACCTTCCTTCGTTTGCCGAATGACTGTATTGGCCTCGAAAAAGGTACCTAAGCTAAGCTAAGCCATGGCAACTAACTTTTAGCTGCGTATCATGGTTCCAGACGGGGATGTTGCTATTTTGGTCGATAACCAATCAGAAGATCTTCTGAAGCTCATCATGGAAAACTGTGCTATTGCAACAATGCTCTAAGGATGGTAGATGCCAATAAGTACTATCCGAAAAAAAAAACTCTCTGCAGAAGTTGCCGTGCTGAAAATGAGGATAAATCGATTCACCTATTTTTTCGTCGATTTACGAGCCTATAATCGAGGCATCTCAGTCACTGGGTTTGGCGAATATCTTCTTTTTCTTATTTGGCGCTGTAACCACCTAAGCGATTTTGGCCGAGTTTAACAAATTACGCCAATCGTTTCTCTTCTGTGCCAACTTCAACGCCAATTGGAAATGTCAAGTGAAGCCAAGTCCTGCTCCACTTGGTCTTTCCATCGCAGCGGGGGCCTTCCTCTTCCTCTGCTACCACTAGCGCGTTCCAAGTTGAATACTTTCAGAGCTGGAGCCTCGGAATCCATTCGAACGACATGGCCAAGCCAGCGGAGCCAAAGTATTTTAATTCGTTGCGCGATGTTTATGGCGTTGTAAAGCTCATAATTCCATCATCTCCGATACTCGCCGTCGCCAATGCGTAAAGGCCCGTAAATATTCTGCAAAATCTTTCTCTCGAATAGTCCAATGGTCACAGTGGAGCACTAACTATGTCTTCGAGTGAAAGTATGGAACATTAGTTTTTTTTTTCAAATTGTCAAATTTTCGAAACAAAATACATACATAAATGTTTTTTGATTATCTTTTCCATGCGAGTTTTCCTTGTTTTCTCAATCAACGTCGATGGCAACGTAATCATTTATTTGCTCAGTTTTTTTGCAAAATATTTCGCAAATAAAATTCGCTTTGTCAAATAGGTATATTTTATGTATATGTAATAAGAACAATATATAAATATATCGAAACCTTGTAAAAAGATGATAAAAAGCATAAATGTTATAAACGTATAAATATATATATATAAGTAGTATAAGCAAGGCTTGCTCGTATTAAATGTATGGCTTAGACATAACTAATTAATACGAAGTTATAATCGCGTAACTGCCTATACTCGTACAAGTCTTGTCTAATTATAATATATTGAAAAATAAATAAATAAAATAAAATGCATAGGGATTATCTGTGCGGTTCAATCAAAGTAGCCTAAGTCGGCATAGCCCATTTCCCTTTAAAGCAACATTTCATTGGGTTCCCAAACAATATTTTAATTTTTAAATAGCCATAGTTCAAGATGGTCTTTTAATAGTGGCTTAATAAAAATATAAAAAAAATATTTCAAGGAAAAGTGATAATTTTTTAATTCAAATTCAAACCTTCTAAAGCCACTTAAGCTACTTTAATTGAACGGCACAGATGTATATATTTATAGTTTACTCATATTTAAAGATACATTCATACGTACACAAATATACGAACGTGACGAGCAACGCAAATTTATTTGAATCAGGGAACGTAACAGTTACAACTTTTATTAAAAAAATCACTATTTAACACATATTTTTTTTAATTGTATTTAAGTACTCCTTAAATAACCGTTATTTCTGACTTTTGGTGTATAAATCTAAAATAACAATTTTTTTTTTGATTTTTATCTAAATAATCTGCAAATAACAGTTTAAATTATATGTCTTTCATAACGGTTACCGAAGACTTATTTATAAGTCATAAAAAAAAAATCAGTCACTGACCTTTATTTTTTAAATCATACTTATTAAAGTCATTTGTATAGGTCATAGTAAGCTGTCTCCAAACACCTTCTTAACTGCGAAAAGTGTTGAGTTTTATATGAATGATTTAAAAAGTAAAAGTCGGTGACTGATTTAAAAGTAAAAGTCACTGACTGATTTTTATTGATGACTTTTATAAATAATAGTCTTAAATAACTGTTATCTAAGACATATAATATAAAAATCATAAATAATTCAATTTTTTTTTTTAATTTTGCATTAAAATTGCAAATAAAAATTAGTTTTAAAATTTGAGTCTAGGTGAAAAAAAAAATCGATGGGTATGTATCACTTAGTTTTAGAACATTTCCTTCATAGTGAAATTTTCCATGAGAGTTTTCATCAATAACTGTTATGTTCGGTCCCTGATTTGAATATTATGTAGTTTGGAAAGTTCTTTTCAATTGAGCTTTAAAAAAAATTAATATGTATTTTTCATAAAAATTTTTATAACTACTAGGGTGTTCGATTATTCGCCTTTTCTCCAAAACCGGTTTTCGAGATATTCGAAAAATTACAATTGAAAAAAAAACCGGTTGCCTATTTTGAAATTAAGAGAAAACCGGCTTTATTTTACACAGTTTTCATACAGTGAAAATGATTAATGTTGGTTTGAAGTCATGACCGAATACATACTACATTAATTCTATTGCTTTTATTGAGAAAAGAGCAAAGTAAAATAAGTTCAAAATTTTTTTAGAACAAAAGTAACAAGAATCAAAATCAGTCTTGTAGATATAAAAAATAACGGTGGAAACCGGTTTGAAAAAACCACTCTAATTATTACAATTGACTCAAACCCAAAATGCCGGAAAAATTGTGGGAAGAGAAAAGGCATATGCAAAAATCTGTAGTGTTTTCTCAACCAACTTTGGTTTGTCAAGAGCGGACTCTGCTTTTCAATTGGCTACTGAGCCCAAGGTAGCACCTGTTGGCAAGAGTTATTCTTCGATTGATACCCAAGCTGGCGCTCTTGCTGGCGTTTATGATGGATCGTAGGTAGAACATTTTTTTTTACTACTTCCAAACTGTAATTATCATCAGTGGCAAGAGCTCCAACAAGCGAAGACTTTTGGTGTGCTGCCAGGAGATACCCTGCTTTGTTTTCGTTCAGCCTATTTTTTTGAATTTTTTCCACAGCTTGAAGAACTCGCGCTGCCCGAGCCCGACGATCTGCATACGCCAGCAGC